TCTATTTATTTATTTATTTATTTATTATTATTATTATTATTATTATTAAACACACAACACATACACACAAAATACATTTTATAATTATTTTGGGTTATTACAATAAGTATGTTTTTTTTTAATATTAAAAAAAAAAACCCGACAACCCAACTCAACTCGTTACCAAATTGTATTCAAGTTGCTTAGTTCAACCCAAAATTTCAAGTTGATTCACAAAATTTTGTATCCCAACTTATAAACTGTAAGATCCCATCTCATTCGAGTATAGAGATGGGATCTTACAGTATTTTCCAGCGATAGGCTAGTCGAATAAACGAAGAAAACTAGTACAACTCCAAATTCCTAACCGTTTATTCTTTCCGAAGTCCCTCCTTATGAGGTTTTCAATGTTCCGTTAGATCAAAATAAAGATGAGTTTATAATAATCTTTTAATTGAAAGAGAGATTATTGTAGCATATGATTAATTAAATGAAATGCTTAGATATGAAAGATATGTATAATATACAGCAAATATTGATAGACCACCACCACCACCCTCCTCTCCTATATACATAATTTCAACAAGCAAGTTCCACAGCCAATTCCTCCACCAACACACTGAAAATTGCAAGCTCCAAATCCATGGCTGCCCCTCCTCTCCTCTCCTCCTCCTCCTCCTTCTTCCACTCCCCAACCTCCTTCCTTAGATCTTCCTCCACCATCATCTCAATGGTCTTCAATTCCACCACTTCCCACTCCTCCAACCTCCTGCAAACCCTCTCTATAACCTCCTCTCTCGCGTCGAGACCGCTTCGTTTCGCCTCTTCTTCTGCAATGAGATCCATGACGAGTTTCCTCATGTCTCGAGGTTCGGAGCTTGCATTGTTTCCAACCTCTTTCACGAAACGTTCGATGTCGTATGCGTTATCCCATTGAACTGACTCTTTGTAGTTTTCTAGCTTTTCTTCTTCTTCCTCTTCCTCTTCCTCTTGAATTATTTTCTCGAGCTCGATCGGGTCCAAGTTGGCAAGTCTCTGGAATCTTTGAAGCTTGTTTAATAGTTGCTGCTTTGTTCCTAATGTGTGTAGAAATGGGAATCAGAAACATGGTAAGGAAAATTATGGCTGAGGAGTCTTTTCAATACTAAAGCTACTTACTTTGGACTGTTGCATAGCTGCATTCCAAATTGTAATCTTCGTCCCTGTCCCCGTCCCTGTCCCGGTTGTCACGCCGTTCATCGTATGTGTCGTCGAAGGGACCATCCAATACAGACACGGGACTACATTGCTCCTTATCTTCTTCATCTTCTTCCACCTGAAATTTCTTCAAGCTTTCTTCACTGTTTACTGTTTCATCCTGTACAAACATTCAAACAAAGTTCAAAAAACAAGGATGATGGATTACACACGACATTAAATCCCGATGGTATGAAATTTCCTAGTAGACGCGTTTTAAAAACCTTGAGGGAAAGCTCAAAAGAGAAAGCCCAAAAAGGAGAATATCGGCTAGTGGTGGGTTTGGGGCATTACAAATGGTACCAGAGCCAAATACCGGGTGATGTGCCAACGAGGAGGCTGAGCTCAAAAGGGGTTGGACACGAGACAGTGTGCCAGCAAGGATATTGGGCCTCGAGGGGGGTAGATTGGGGGGTCCCACATTTATGGGAGAATAGAACGAATGCCTGCGAGAATGCTAGGCCCTGAAGAAGGATGAATTGTAGATCCCATATCGAGTGAGAAGGAGAACGAAATATTCTTTATCAAGGTGTGGAAACTTCTCACGATTAGACGCGTTTTAAAAACCTTAAGGGGAAGCTTGAAATAGAAAGCCCAAAGAGGGCAATATCTTCTAGTAGTGGACTTGGGCCATTACAAATGGTATCAGATTTAGACACAGGGCGATTGCCAACAAGAAGGCTGAGCCCCGAAAAAGGTGAACACGAGGCAGTGCGACAGCAAGGACACTTGGCCCCGATAGAGGATGGATTAGGGGGTCCCACATCGATTGGAGAAGGGAACGAGTGCTAGCAAGAATGCTAGAACCCAAAAGGGATAGATTGTGAGATTCCACATCGGGTGGAGAGGAGAACGAAACATTTTTATAAGGGTGTAGAAACTTCTCCCTAGTATACACATTTTAAAACCCTCCAAGGAGAGCCAAAAGAGGACAATATATGCTAGCTGTGGGCGGGGGCCTGGGCGGATACGGATTCTCTACTCAATTCTCCCATCTTACACAACAGAAACTTCATAAGCCTAATTCAATTAGTCAATTGAGTGATCACTAGAGCATAAAAACCCCAATCAGCTAATCATTTTGTCAACCATCAAGAAGAATTTCCAAGAGTTTAACCAAATAACCATTTGGGTAATCACTTATGATCAAACAAAAGTTCAAAACAATTGCTCATAAATTTGTCCTGCAAAAAACATAATGGGTTTTGTCTGTTTGACGCAAATAGTTTTTCAACCCGACACACTCTCAACTCCACAAAGAAAGTAAAAAAAGAAAAAAACAATCAAAATTGCAGAGATATGCTTAAGAGTACCATCAAGAACACACACAGCATTTAATGTCAGAGTAAATTTTCAAACCTCTTTGTTACGGCGACAAGGAGAGGCCGCCGGCGACAGAAAATCCGGCGTCTGACAACCGTACGAGGAGCTTCGCTGAAGAACAAATCGGAAAGGGCTTTCACAGAAATCTTCCCCTGAATCCACAGATTGGCTACTACAAGAAGTCCCCAAATCCATTGATCTTCCTTCTTCGTTGGTTTCCGACCAGAATCCATAGCTAGACCTTCCATTATAAGAACTCGTCTCCCCCTGCGTTATTTTCCTTCTAATGGCGCTTTTTCTATGCCCAAACGACGCTAAATCGCCGCCATTATCACAACCTTCCGTTTCACGGTCAGTGTTGTTCCGATTTCGAAGAGTTAATCTCTTCAAAACCGACCCAAATCGCGCAAGCCCTTGATTCTTAATCTGGGTTTTCTTAGATTTCGCTGTCGATTTCTGTTTATGAATCTTTAAAGCAGCTTCAAGAAGCAACGCCGCCGTTCTAGCCGGAACATGGAGGAAAATCGCATTAGGACTACTTCTATTTCTGGCCGGCGAACGAAACTCAAACAGGGGAGATTTCCGGAGCTCCGGCGAGGGGTGGAATGATTTAAAACAACCATTTCTGCAGAAATCTCCCCGGAAAACAGAATTTGACGAAATGGGTTTTCGTTTCTTGAGTTGTAAATCGGTTTTAGGCGAAACCCTTTTGAGATCAACGCGTTTGTCGGCGATGTATGTGTTCAAATGGAAGGGCTCTTGATCCTGTTGCAGTAACTCGTGCAAGGGCTTGTGAGGCATCATGAATGGCGGAAATTGGAAGGCAATGGATAGCAGTTTTTGGAAAGATTGAAGAGGAAGAGGAGAGTTGGGGGATTTAAAAAGGGTAACAAATTTGTGGGATTATAAGAAAAACAGAGGAATTAAGATTAGATTAAAGTGTTAATTGTTTTTTTTTTTTTTTAATGTATTAATGGAAATTAAATTAGGAAGAGAGTTGTTGAAGAAAGATTCCATGCATTGCTATCCACAGACCACAAGGTACAGCATGCAATTAACTAAATTAAAATAATAATAAATAAATGGAGGTCTTCTTTCTCACTCATCTTTATTTTTTATGTGAGAGAAAGAAATTTTAATATTAAAAAGATCGGTTCCAGATGTCTATTTACCATGCAGGACCTCTCTTGTTCGGGATGAAAATTTTCCATCTAACGGGCCAAAATAGACAATTTTTGCTAGCGATGAGCTTGAATTGTTACAAATGGTATCAAAGCCAGTCACCGAATGGTGCAAGGCACTAAATGGAGTAGGGCTAGACTATCTCCACAATAGACGCATTCTAAAATTATGAGATTGATGATGATATTTAACTGGCCAAAACGAACAATTTCTACTAATTGTGGGTTGGGCTCTTCAGAGCCAGAGATTTCCTCCGAGCTGGGTTCTCCATCTCTATCTTTGTCCCAATAAATTTATTATATTATATTATATTTTTTTAAAAAATATTATTAAATTTATTAAAATGTTTTATTTTTTAATTATAAATTATATTATTTTGATTAAAGTAATTTGGAGGGTTTAAAAACTTGGGAGTTTCCATGTACCTACATTCATAGCTTCAATTTGGACCCTGTTTTTAGTTCCTCCATATATATATATATATATATATACACACACGCGTACATATTAGATGATCGTTTTATAACACCTCAAACCCACCGCTAACAGATGTTTTCTTCTTTGAGCTATCCCTTTCGAGCTTTCCTTCAAGATCGCATCTACTATGGAGAACGACTAACCCTACTCAGACCAGTATCTCACGTCATTCGATGACTAGCTCTGATATCATTTGTAATAGTTCAAGCCCAGTTCAAGTAACTATTATCCTTTTTGGGATTTCTCTTCAAGGATTTTCCCACCAGGTTTTAAAACTCACACTCTTATAAGAAATATTTTGTTCCCTTCTCCAACAGAAGTGGAATCTTACACAATTAGAGTCGAGCCACACGATTCTATTCCAATGCACGTCACAAGCAAGTGACCCATTTTTTAAATAAAATAAAATCGATACTCTTGACATACAAACTTTTACGATATAATTTCAATACTCAGATAAGTTTGTTTATTGTCTCCGACATTTAAAGGTCATGAGAAATTGAATTGTTTTTGCGAATGTTGATGAAAATGATGGTGTTTTTGTCCTTTCTTAATAAATTTTACATTTTGTATTTTGTATTTTGTATTTCAATGTATATCTTCAAAGGAGCATCCCATCAAATTTTGTCTCACTTTTTCGAAAAAAAAAAATATTATTCATTTTATTTACTTTTAAATACTAATTTCAACTGATTAATCAATAAAAATATTTAAGATGGTGTAAAATTAATATTTGATTATTTAATTCTATCTACTAAATTTTTAAAAAAAAATTTTAATCTAATAAATCTATAATTTTTCAATTTTGTACGTAATAAATAATAATTCATTTAATATTTTTTAAGTTAATGAACTAAAAATTAATTCATTTAACATTTTTACCCTTATAAATTTATATTCAATTATTTATTTTATAAATATATATATATATATATATTTGTAATAACAGTTATATTTTTTAGTCAATTTTTTAATAAAGACAAAATTAAAATGTTAAAAGTAAAAAAAATTAGAGATTTATTAAATTATTTTTAAAATAAAAAAAGAAAGTAAATAAACACGTGAAAAAAGAGCATGAGAAGAAGAAGAAACAGGAAAACGACAAAAGGAAGAAACAGAGAAATTGGGGAAAGCCGACAAATGGGCAGCCGGGTCGGATATTTGACCACTTTCAAGTTTTCCCAGCCATTTTGACGGTGGTCTCCTCAAATAAATCTCATCTTCTCCAAAAATAAATAAATAAATAAACAAATCTTATCCACGGCTCTCGAACATGACTTTGATATCTTGTTAGGAATGACGACTTTCTAAAATAGTTTATAAATGGACTCGTGAAAATTAACTGTAAAAGAGCCATTAAAGAAATTGAAATGTTGTAGTCTGGTTGTCGGTAGTTTTTTTTTAGTATAAAAGAGGTATCCACCTAGATCGTTACTCGATTAAAATCATTCCCCTTTAGCCCTTCATTAATCATGGTACAGACTCGAATCTTAGTCTGGGTGATTCTCATGGGGTCGATCACACTATTCGAGGGTCGACTTTAAGAGATTTAATTGACGTTTCAAGCATGATTGAAACAATAAATTGAAAATAAAAGTTGTAAACTTTTTGTGCACGAGGAATGGGCGATATGATGAGGGTTGTTTGGATGTTTACTTTTGTAGAATTCTATTTAAAGTAAGGTTTAAAGAATTTAAAATAGGGTGGAAAACCGAGTTTTTGCTTTTTATGTGTCGTTTTTGCTTTTTATGTGTCGTTTTTGCTTTTTAATGTGTCGTTTTTGTCGAGTCAACCACCTCCTTTCCATTTAATAATCATTGCAAATTGGTGCCCTTCCTTTTTACTTTTACCCCTTTATTTCATCCCCATCTTCTTACTTTTTACTTTTTTTTTGGTTTAAACTTTTGAATTTTCATCCCATCCCATCACTCACTTTACTAACAATAATCGGAAAAGAATTAGGGTTCGATTGGGTAGTCAGTGTTCGAATCAAAGTCACACGTCAGTTAATTTAGAGAATGATTATGGGTTTATAGTCAAACAATACTATCTCCATTAGTAAAAGGCAAAGACATGAGCGTTTATGCTCAAAGTAGACAATATCATACCATTGTAGAGAGTCGTGTTCATTCACCACTCGTGAACTGAACCAAATTCAACTGAACTCAAACCGTGCTGATTACCAATCATGAAAAGGCAACACTATAATTTAATATGGGTTTGGGTTGGAGCAGTAACATTATAATTTAATATGATTCCAAAATGATGAATTAAATAATTAATAGAGCTACCTTTAACTTTATATCCCCTCATTTATTTCTTTAGCTTTTTATCTTTCATTTGAAAAAGTTGAAGAAGAAGTTCTTATGTTATCATTTTGCCCATCATTTCCGAATTAATTAAATATGTCTTTTTCTTTATTTTTACCACTTTATTTTCATAAATAATTATATAAATGTCATATGGAATCTTCATCATTAATGGGTGCATAATTAATATGATCTTGGTGTACTACCTTAAATATGTGTTTTAATGTCTAATCATTAATGCATTAAATAAATATATGAATAACTCCTAACATTTGTTTAATTTAATTTGGTTTCGTTTCATAATTAAGACAACTAATCATTTTTTAATGTAATGTTATATTCGAGAAGTGAGAGGTTATCCGACTCCGATAGTATTTGAGTTAATTTGTAAATTTAATTCTTATAGTTTGAAAAAGACTTAAATTGTTAGGTCTTGTAACGTCGTTAATGGTTTGTATCGTATTCATTGCATTGAGGCCTTTCATTTTTCTAGTCTCATATTCGTGACCACGCCTAGGATCCCTACAATATTTGTAAGGTGGCTGCTGTGACCGCGTAGGAGGTTGATCGTGAGGATCAATCTAGTCATATCGTCGCTTCTGTTCCACAACGGTCGATGGAAGGGGTCATCGAGGTTTTCCACTAATATTACCTTTTGTAGCCTTAGCTGCTCTCAGGGCGACAATAATAGTAGGCACTATTGTCTTGACGATACCGTGGATTCTTTTGTCCAAACCTAAGACGAACCTCTGTGCTAGTTTTAGTTCGGTGTCAACCAACTCTGGAGAAAATCGTTTCATTCTCATGAATTCCCTTGCATATGTTGTGATTGAACGTCCTCTTTTAGTCAGTTGTGTGAACTTTTGCTGTTTGTGAAGTGAGTTGCCCTTGGGTAATATTCTGCCCAAAAGGCATCTTTAAATTCCAACCACGAGACTACACCTCCATCGAGACTAAGAGCCTTGCAAGTGGACTCTCACCGTAACTCTGCATCGCCTTGCAACATGAACAATACACATGATACCTTTTGATCATTTGGGCAATTCATCAACCTAAGCACGGTCTCTTTTGACATCAACCCCATATGTGCTACGGTTGGATCCTCTGCAGTCCCATTAAAGGTACAAGGGTCACATCTTCTGAAGTCTCATAGGTATCTTACTTTTCTGATTAATGAGTAGTTGCAACTATTTCCATAACCGCTTGTCATGACTCCCACATTAGGACTGTTGTGGGATTTGGTGTGACTTGAGGCACTACTGACAATGGGAGTGGCATCGCTTCATTAGGTCGATTTATCGTGGACCGAACTTCTTCTACGACTGCCTCTACCCTCTTCCCCGACCTCTAGGTGGCATAATCTCTATTAAACACATAACGTACTAAGTCTATAACACTCAACTTGTATAATAACATATATGACATACTCCTCTTCTCAACATGCAAACATAATAACATAACATGCTAAACTTTACATTATCATAATCGATCAACAACATACAACATTTAACAAAAGCAGTTATTATTTTTAAAAATCATACCTAAAAGTGACAGTATATCTATTAAAAGACCATGGAATTAGCCGGTCTACAAAATCTAAACACTTAGTGCTCTGCTACAACGCCCTAATTTTCTTACCTAGATCAGAGACGTCACTACATGCATGAGTTTAATAACATATGCGAAAATCTAAATAAAACGTTTCAAACAAAGACATGGACTTATACGCTTAATTTAAAACAATAAATAGAAATAATATCGTCAAAATAAAACCTTAGCATAATCTTTGAGCACGAAAATGAAAAGCCACCTCTGAAACTACTAACTGAAAACCATGCATACTATTGTCCTATCTTAAATTTCATGGTCATTTTAGCATTCACTGTCAGCCGTATAGGGACGGTTTACCTTTACCTGAAAAACAAGAGTAACACGTAACTTGAGTATTTTAAAAAATACTCAGTAAATGACTTTACTGTTGATTTTACGCAAGAGGGTAAAAATTGTTGAGTCATAAGTTAATACAAAATTTAACAATAATTTTTTAAAAAAAATATATTAAGTTTAAGCACGTTTTTATTTTTATTTTTTATAATTAATTTACCGTTTGGAAGAGAGTTGATTGAGACGGTCAAAATGGGGGGTTGGAGAAGGGACGTCATTTAGTTATTGAATTCCACGTGTAAAATTGAAGACGACATCGTTTTATCAGAAATGGTCGGACTTTTGTCCCCTCTTCGCTTTTACATAGGATTCTAAATTGCAATGCTAATAAGAGAGACATAAAAGTGTTGTATTTGGATCCTATTTTGTTCTATTTCAATAACATTATCTCATCACCCTATCACTCATTCATCTGTTACGTTACTTATTTATCGCTTTTAAAAGTGAAGACTACCTCCATAAACTAACACGAGTCCTTTTTACGTACTGTATTTCACTCACATGTTTCCTAGTAAAATTCTCTAGAAGTAACCTTTTGTACATACACAAAGGTATCTATTTATCCGGTAGGACTAAGGCTTCGTGGAAACCTGTCCAAAATGAGATGAGGAATCCCCATTTGATAAACGGGGTAAGAGACGAGGATTGTGTTCCCTACCATAATCCTGCTTTTTATACATATAAAAACAAACAAACAAATATATATACGTTCTCTAGACTTTATTTTTCCAAAAATGTCTCGATTCATTGTTTTGTAACTATTTTTTATAAAAAAAAATTTATATTCTTTCTCGATTACATAATCTAAATAAGAGAAAATCGTCAGTCATTTGTTTGAGGGTCACATTCAATGAATTGATTTGACTCATTTTTTCAAAAAGCAATGAAAATAATAATTGTGGGTTGCAAAATGGAGAAGTAATGCCAAGGCATGTGATATGCCATTTTCTTGTACAATTAGGTCATCTTATATATATATATATATATATATATTATATAAATTAAAGAGAGAAAGGACACAAAAAAACACCCACAAATCTAAATCGTAGGATATGGGAAATGGATTTTCCCACAAATTTTTGGTAAATAAAAAATGGCATTTATATGAACATTCAAGTATTGGGACAAAATGATGATGCCTTGTGTTGTTTGTGAGCTTCTAAGTAATGGGACCTTGTGGTGCTTTGTCGGTTCTTGTCCATTTTCTTCTTCATTTTTTATAAATTCCAATCCTTGTTCTTATTCATACATATATATATATGTATATGTATATGTATATTAGTTTGTAGGGCTTAGAACAAACCTAATATGAATAACGAGCCTAATTTAATTGATCGAACTATTAGTTTTTTTCTAAATCTCAAAACTTTGGATGATATTACCTTCAATTGTACTATAATAATAAGTACAATAAATAAACGATATTACTGTCCACATTGGTTGGAGAGGGGAACTAAACACTCCTTATAAGTATGTGTAAATCTCTCTCTAACAAATGCGTTTTAAAATCATGAAGTTAACTTGACGATGATGATATGTAACGTTCTAAAATGTATAATATCAGCTAGCAATGGGTTTTAATAGTTCTAATTATTTTCAATCTTATAATATTTTAACATAAAAAATAGATTTAGAAGTTAGGTATTAACTTTTTCTTAAAAAGTTAATAATTTAAAATTAGACTGGATGGTGTTTTATTTGTAATAATAATAATAAAAAATGAAAAAAAAAACACGATTTATTATGTTTAAAGAGTAGTTTGTTTATTAATATTATATATTTTTTTTATAAAATTGATTATGTTCACATCTCAAAATATCCAGGAGAGAGAATCTTTTGACAAACCACTTTAATTAAAAGAGACATGTCGTGCCAAAACACACTAATATATTTTCTCCCTTATTTATTTTTTAATAACAAAACATAAAGAAGCCTTTAAAAAATAAATTAACAGTTCTTGGTTGAGGATTCAAATAAATGAATTGTAATCCTACCAAATTGGAGTAATTAATTTGTAAAATCATAATAAGATTCAATTTTTTTTATTGCCAAAATGAGACTAATTTAGTGGTAATTTAATGTTAAATTGACATTCAGATATCAAAAATTAAGTATACATTCAGATATCAAAAATTAAGTATACATTCAGATATCAAAAATTAAGTATCATTGAGTATAATACCGGAATTGGGTTGAGATAATTTTTTATTTTATTTTTGGGTTGGGTTTAGGTTAAAAGATTTTCATCCAAAAAGCAAATAAAAAGTAGGAACCCACGTCGTGTGGAGGAAGAAGAAGAATGAAAGAAGTAGAGAGTAGCTTCTTCACGTCAGTCTCAGTGAGGTGAGTAACGAAGAATGAAAGGAGAAAATGGCAAGTAGCGAGTCGAGTGCGAGAAAGAACGAATACGAAACTGGATGACGAGTCGAAGACAAACGAAGAGGAGTAATTGGGTTGGCCCAGCCTATCGAAGTAATTTGCTAGACCTAGGCAGAGGAAGAAGAATGTGGGTTAGGCTTGGACTTGGTTTCAACTCCTCTTCTATCTCTTCTCTATTTCTTCATGTAATTGGGCACGGGTTGACCCAGTCCTTTGCACACTAAACTCGCACCCAACCCAAATCCGATCACGCCTTAAAAAAAATCCAACTCAAACCAACCTTTATAATTCAAGTTGAGTTCTCAGTTCCTATCATTTAATTTGAAAAAAGAAAAAACAATTATGTAAATAAGATTAACACAAATGTATGAACTACATTTAATGTGTTTTTCTCAAAAAAAAAAAAAAAAAATCTAATATACCAACCAAATTCCAATAATTAGCATATGATATATTCAACAAGGTTATAATTAGTCCATAGAATTGGTCTCCATAGTTTTAATTCTAAAAGCATATTGGAGGGCAAAAAGTATATAATATCAATTATTAAAATAACTCTAAAACTCCACTATTATTTCAAAATAACATAAAACATAAAACAACAAAGAACAAATGGTAGCTAACACATGCAGGAACAGACTAGGGCTTGACCCAATGCAATATTTGGAGTGTAGCCTTTGTTAGGGCTTTCCCCAATCTAACATTTTGTTTTTTTTCCAGAGAATTAGGGCCCTATGAGCTGCTTTATATTATATCGAAACCAAATCGTCTACCTTTAAAATGGTAATTTGTGTATGAACCGATCCACTCAACTATGCTCAAATTAATAATAAACCGAGCTCATCAAACAAACCAAAACCGAGGGAAAAATAAAGAAATGGAATACTTTGTATATCAAATTCTACATGTTTTCCAAGGAATGTGCATGGCAAATGATGAAAAGTTTAAATACAATATATCTTTGTATTAGTTGAAAGCAATACATACATATAAGACAGTGGTTACCCTAAGTTATGAATGTTGGTTCAAGTGAAGTAAACTAAACCAAAATGAAATCAAAATATAAGAGAGTGGTTAAAGTAAAACACCCATAATACAGACATAGACAGAGAGTAAAACACATACCACAAAGGGCTACAAACAGATGAATCAAATTAGGAAGTGTTGTCCACATGCTTACTCAGTTCTTCCAACCTCCTCAGCCTCAGCCTTTCACTTTCACCAACCATCTAATATCATCATAATCACAACAAACAATACCTCTGTGTTCATATTAAATTCAATGTTCCCAGAAGAGAGAATTTCAGAATTTATGAGACTAACCTCCATTAGTTTTGATACTAATTGTACTTTCTCGCTGTTCTTTTCATTGAAGGCCTCAAGGGCATCTTTGTATTCTTTCTCCTGTTATACACAACAATTCCAGATCTTAAAAGGTTTCAAAAATGTTTGTCTCTTTGGAATAACTTGCGAGAAAGATTGTAAGAAGAAAAAAGGGGATTACCCTTTTTTGGCATGTTTGTCCTAGTGGTTTTAATTCCTTGTTTACTGCATCAATTCTCTTACGAATCTGTCCGATTTCTTTCCTCATTGGATCCGCTATTGCTTCAAGTTCCTGTTCATGATTCCCTTCAGGCTATTAAATTCTTTATCCAGTCATCCTAACTACTAGTTTACTTGTAATTTAAGGCAATAAAGAATGAAGTATGATTTAGCGGTTGAATTTAGGGGTTTCGATTCGATTTCGGAAAGCGCAGACTAGCAGCAGAAGAATTTCTAGGTCAGATGTTGAATTTCGCAAAATTGAATAGAATTCCGGAAAGAAATTAGAAATTGATAGCAGTTATTGCAGAGATGAAACAGAGAAAAGAACAACGAAGAGTTAATTAGTTAGGGTTTATGTGTAAGGAAAGAGATGACCTCTCGAATGGAAGCCAAACGCCTGTTTTCTTCCTCGACACGGCCGAGTCGAGCTTGAAGTTTCTGCTGAACTTCGGTCCTCATCCGCTCGATCTCCTCTTCCTTCTCCCTAAAAGCCGAAAGCGCCGATTTGGACATCTCTTCATCGTCTTTGCTACTGAAACTAAAATTTCCAGAATTCTGTAACATCAATTGAAGCTGCTGGTGCTGTGGATTTTGCTCCGCCTGCTGCATCTTCAACTTTTTCTCTCGATTTTTTCAGAGGAAGCGTTCTTGTCTCTTTGTTGGTTGAATGAATGAACTATGAACTCCCTTCCCTTTCCTTTCATGGGCTGCTCATTTTTCTTTCCTTTTTGTTTTTTTTATAATCTGTTCTTCCCATCTTCAAATTCTGACCCTTGGATTACATCCAGAAAACGGCCTTTTTGGGGCCAAAAATTAAAAATGTACCCATTTAATTAATTCCAATTAGAATTTGGAATCCATATTTGATACCTGATTTTTTCGACATTGTCACGTTGCTCATACATTATCTTCCACAGACCAACACGAATCCGCTATAATGTTTTGTCATCCTAAGAAAATTCTTAACCGGTCACCCAATATAGAATTGTTCTGAGAAAGTAAGTTTTAGCTCTGAATTTGTAGAATTGAGCTACCGAGAATGAACGTTGATATAAACCAAGAGACATCAATCATACAATATACTTAAATGAAGATATAAAGAAAATAGTAATGAAATTATCAAAACATATTTAAATTCATGCCACATTAAAGAAAAAATGAAGTTTCGTGTGATAAACTTTAGTACATTACAATTTAGAATTATTGTATTTCATTAATGATTTTTAAGACTTTTTATTTACTTACAATTACATCATGGTTACATTAAGTATAAATGTTAAACTCTTGAATGCCTCTAATAGTTTTATTGTGATGCTATAAAAAGTATGTATGTTGTATTTGTAAGTAGACTTGGAAAATACAGTAAAATGTGCATTTGTGCTTCTGTTTAGCCAATGACTAAGTTTCTTTGCAATTCTATGTAGTTTAGATTGCATGTAGAATCATTCAAGTTCGATATGATTAATCTTGCTTGTGGAGTGATTCGAATCTAAAACAAGTATTCTTGCGTTGAGATATTTGATCAACAAGAATCATTCAAGTTGATCGATCTTACTTGTGGAGTGATTCGAATCTCAAACAATGTTTTTGTCTTGAGATATTCGATCAACAAAGTAATCCGAAACTTACTCCCCTTGTAGTGATTTTCACATATCAAACGTGTACATTGTTCGTATAAGTAGTAACTTTTAACTCTTTTGAGTCCTTCGTGAACATTCTATTATCATAATCGCTCACAATCAAATGTGAAAAAGCTCTGACAAGCACGATCACGACACAATAAAAATAAAAAATTGGAACATCTATTTAAAATATTAATAGAAAAGAATTTACATAATTTTTTATTTATAAATGGGTGATATTAAATCTTATCCTATGAATGTTGGAAGGGTTCTAAGTAATTAAAGTCAACTTCATGTGCTTGGTCGTTGGCGGTTCTCAAGGTTTTTTTTTTTTTTTTTTTTTTTTTTTTTTTTTTTTTTTTTTTTTTTTTTTTTTTTTT